ATAGACTAGACTATAAATTAGGCTATATAATAGACTTTGGACTATACAAAGTCGAAAAACCATGCTTTGATACTTTTTATAAATTTCATATCCGATTTAGAAGAAACAATACCATCACTAGCACTGCGTCTGCTTTAAATGCTGCCGCTGTCAATGCGGACGTTGCAGTCTCTACTCTGCTGCTCTTTTGCTTTTGTTGTGTATCGTTTTGTTAGCAAAGAACAGAATTCAAATCCATGAGATGTATGTATGAGTTGTAAATATCTAGATACAACATATGATACGGTGCGTTAGAGTGAGACAACATGCAACCCAAATGTACAACATGTGAGTAAAGTAGTATTAAAGTAATGCCATAAATCAACATTGCCAAGTTTACGAGAATTATGTTAAGTATAGGGAAATCTGTTGGAATCGTTTAAAATCAGTATCTTGTATCTAAATGTAGAGACAACTGGAATTGGGTAGGGTTCTATGAATCGATTTTTGAACAATCGACTATTTATCGAAAAAAGTGAAAGAGGAATAGTTCAAAATAACAAAGACGACAATTTCAAAATTTTAAAATGACAAAAAATTGCATTTTCATAATTTGCAAAAAGTGGATGGTTGCTTTCAATTATATAATCCAAGTATTGAGGTTCAAAACTTCCCAATAAGTTTTTTTGTAATTTTGGGCTTTTAGGAATCCCATTTTATGTATTCCCACAAATATCAAGTTGTTAATCATATCCCCCATCTCTAAACGTATGTTTAAAAAAATACAATAATGGCCGAGCATCCGGCTGTTTGTAAATGGTGGTGGTTGTTGATATTTGAACAAATGACTGTTCAACCTCACAATCAGAGCCACCAAATTGAGGACCAGAAACACATACCAACTAACTTGTGCAGTATATAATAGAGAACAAGTACATTTTATAAATCCACTCCAATCTTTTTTATATGCTGTTGTATATAATTTCAGTGTAAATAGATGAATTTGTTGTTTGTTGATTAATGGTCTCTCTCTATACAAAAAGTATTTGCAAATAGGATGTGAGTAACATTTGCTGTTTTATTTTTTAAATACGAATCAACATTTAATTAGTATACAACTTATTTAATTTATTTTATTTTTTTTTGCGTTTTTATTCTATTGATTTTTGTATTTGATTTATGATTCTTAACGAATATTTAACCAAAAAAAAACTATATAAATGGAGTTTTTTGCAATTAGAATGTAGATATCGGATTTTATTAAATACTTTTTATTATTTTAAATAATGAAGTAAATACATTTAATCATATTTTCGATTTTTCCTAAAGTGGTAAAATAGTCGTCCTTTTATGATGTTAAACGCAATAGGAAACAATAATTTATGTTTAAATGGTGACGACATAAGTAAGTAAAATCCCCAAAACCCCATATTTTTATACTTATTTTTGAGTAAATAAGAGCCCATAATTCCCCTACGTCCCACCAGAAAATTGCTTTAACGCTTATTCCGGCTTTCAAAGGACGGTTCAAGACAGCTTTCTATGAACCGAAACCTTTATGCGAAGTTTTATGAAAATCGGTATAAAGTTGACCGAAAAAAAATATATTTTTTAATTCTAGAGAGCTTATTGATATATATATATATATATATATATATATATATATATATATATATATATATATATATATATATATTATTGAAGACCCTGACGTTCATAATAATCTTATGATCTAAGGTCATATATAGGGTCACCTTCTGTAATTGACTTTATTTATTGTGGATATATGTATGTATAAGATTGGACATAGCCGAATATAACACTCTTACTTGTTAGTTTTACATTTTACAAGGACTGATATATTCAAATGCCAAATATGTCTGGATTCTCTCTCCGGTGCTGTTGCCATCTCAATAGATGTCATTGTGACAAAGCCACTTATGCTGGATTCCTGAACCCGTTGAGTATCTCTTACTCTTCGCGTAGTAGGGCGCCAGTATAGGTTGGGGAATTTTCAGGTTGGCACTTGGTAGTTGCCTGTCATTCCGTAGATCGTTCTTTATGGTCTGAGAATGGAACTGATGTAATTGGTGAACGATCGGGAAAGACTCCTCTGCCCGACAGGAAACTAGTTCTGATTAAGTAGACCTTTTACTTCAGGGAAGTTCTCCTGTTTCATGCTACGCGACATATGGTTGAGGTCCGTTCCCTCAACTCGTCGGGGCAATTATTGGGTTCGAATTGACTTTGGAAATTTCTACATGCTTTGTCGCATTATCTGACATACAGAGGGATCCTGATGTATTTGCTGGATATTTCGGGCTACCAAATACGTCTCTAGGTACTGTTTCCAAACAACAGAGCCATCTCAGTACTGTTGTTGCGCGGGCTTTAAGAAGTTAAGGAATGCACTGGAATGGGTCATTAGTTGATGCGGATTGCATTTTAAATAATGCAATCTTTCATGACATCATAAGGGTGGTCACCTTCCGGTTTACCGGAAGATTGATTTCACCTGATGTTGGGGCTTGTCACCCCCTTCTATTGACTTTAGACCAGTGATTGCTTTTTCCTTGTCGGGGTTTGCATTGGGATTGATCCCATGCTGCCTGTCATTCCGCAACTATGGCAAGAGATTATATAACTCGAGTTCTTGAGTGCTTGTATATAGACCGGCTCAGCCATGTACAAAAATTGCCACCAGAGTTCTTCATAGAGGGATTCAGGGGCGCGTGGTGGACCGTCTCTAGTCTACCCAGTGGATGAAAAAGACCAGCGTGAAAATTAGGACGTCATGACAAGTGTTCACGTTAAAGTCTCGACATTCGTGTCTGTCCGTCCGTTCGTCTGCCTGTCCATATAAACCTAGTGTGCCCTCTACAGATCGCAATTTTCAAGATAATTTGATGAAATTTGGTACATACTTATCTAAAGACGATGCCTATTAAAAATTGTTAAAATCGGTCCAATATTTCGGTCCATACAACCGTATCCTCCGAATGGGGCTTTTGAGTTTATAATTATGTTAAATGTTCTAGTATCTCAACAAAAATCGGCAAAACTTAGTTTTATATAAGTCTAAATGATAGTGCCGATGTTCGGTCCGCATTTAACCCTATCCCTCTTGAAGGTCAAAATTCACTTATAAACACTAATATGGATGGAAGCCTACATAAATAACTTTAATGTAGACGTTAATTTCTCTAACATATATGGGATAGGCCCGTATTTACCCTTACCGTCATATAAAGCCTCTTGTAAAAAATCTCTTTTTCTGGTCAAAAAATTATAAAAATATTTCGGAATTTAGGTTAAAAACAAATTAAATGTTTTATGTGTAGAGTTATCATATGGTCGGCCTTGCCCTACTATTCATTCATACTTGTCATAAATAAAATTGAATTAAAATTTTTAAATTTAACATAAAGATATTATTGCCACATTTTTTAAAGATTTCATATCATACCTCTATAGTGTGGAGGGTAGGAAGCAACGAACAGACATCTTAAAGTATAGCATCCCAGCAAAAACTTACATTGAAAAATAATGAGTTAAAAAGCTAAAAAAAAGCCACTTTTTTAACTTATTACTTTAATACGTTGATTACATTGGAGGCAAATACTTACTGCGCTCGCTTACAAATAACTACTTATGAGTCGATTATGTATGGCAAACTAAACGTTGCCAGTTTCAAAATAAGATAATGATTCCAGTATAGAAATGATTCAAGTTTTCCAAAAACTAATTGAACAAATATTGTTCGCCCCTATTCTGTATTTCGATTACGTTTACGCATTCAGTTACGCTACGATCGAAAAAAAAGGTTGTCCAACAATAAACTGAATCGTAAAAAAAGAAGCAATTCCATTTCGTTTCAATACTTTACGATTGTGTGTATTCTGCTACGTTTTTGCAAGTTGTTCTTTATGTGGCGGAGAGTCGAGTCGAAATACAGAATAGCAAAGTTGCAAAACGGAGAAAATTTCAATTCGAATTGAAATGCAGAATCGGGGAGATTAATGAATAAAACATTCATTATTTATAAAGTTTCCAAGCTATTGCTTTGGCAACGCAATTGAGATACATAATCGGCCCATTAAAAAAGTACCAAACTAACAAATAGGGAGTAAAAAAGTTGTTTTGTTTTACGTACATAAAAATTGTTCACATAGAAAACGAATCTGGGCCTCTAGTTCGTTAGTTCGCTCTCTTACACACAACACAGCTGACATTTATATTGAGTAAGTATTCGGTTCCTACAATGTAAAAATCAGATTATATTCCTAAAGTTTTCATCAATATCATTTAAATTGTTATGATATAATAAAAACGAAATTATTATAACATGTTTATTAATATAGTTATTTAATAAATACCTTTTATCAGAAATCAATACCGAACGAAATTATAATAATTTTCCTTATTAAGCTTCTTACATTGGCAGTTAACATTTTCATCCTAATGTTTGTAAATAAATAACACTCTTTTGTAATAAAAAATCATTTTGCAAAATTCTTAAATGCTTTTTTTTAATTGTTTTATTCAATCAATGTGAATAGTTTATTTTTTCTTCTTTTTTTGATGCTTGTTGATTCTTTATGTTTTTCTTGTTTTCTTGTTTTTTTTTTTTGTATTTTATTTTATTACATACATTATTTGTTGGTTTGTTTTGTTTTTCTTACTATTTTAAATTTATTTTAATATTTATATATGATCAATTAATTAATTTAAATTAATTACTTGTTTTTGTTTGCTTTTTTTCTTTTTTAAGGACTCGTTAACAAGTCGTTATTTAAAAAAACTTAAAGTTTACATCTAAACAAAAAAAATAATAGATAATAATTAATAAAAAGGTAAATAATAATTAATAATATTTACTATATTTATATATATTAATAATATATGCATATACTTTTAGTTTCTGTTTAGGATTTATTCCGTATTAAATCCTTTGCTTTTTAAACATAATTGAGGGAAAGGAGGTTGTTTAACATTTGCCTGTTTTCAAACTATTGTTTTGAGTAAGTGATTTCGTTTTGTTTTGTTTTTTTTTTTTTTTAATAATATTTTACAAATATATCTTAAATGCTAAAAAAACATGTTTGTGGTATTTTTAGAATTCCTTTGTTTCTTTCGTGTTGGATTATTATAAATTTATTAATTTTATTTTGTTTTCACTAAATTGTTTTACTTGAATTTTGTTAAATAATAATTAAGATTTGATTTTCTTTTTTGTATTTTCTGTTAAGATGTATTTTTCTTTCAAGAATTTCTCCTTTTGTTTAAATTCAAATAAAATTTGCATACAATAAATATTGTTGTGTGATTTTTTTATCGGGGGTTAATATATATTTTGTTTTGTTTATTTTTGAGTTTCAATTAAATTATTCTCATAACTTATGATTGGAGGTAAGCCACGTAAGGCCTTCATATAAGCCATCACCAGTTGTTGCACAGGAAGGTTGCACATACCAGTTGCGATCTCGTATTCTAGTTAAGCCTAATTTTTCTTGAATCTCATGAGGTTTCATTGCTAAAATAAGAAGAAAACAAAATTATTCAAATATGTACATATAGACTAGACTAGTATTTTCCGTAGACTATAGAAGAGACTTTAGATTAGGTTATGGACTAGACTATAGACTAAACTATAAACTAGACTATAGACTAGACTATAGACAAGACTAAAGACTAGACTATAGACTAGACTATAGACTAGACTATAGACAAGACTAAAGACTAGACTATAGACTAGACTATAGACTAGACTATAGACTAGACTATAGACTAGACTATAGACTAGACTATAGACTAGACTATAGACTAGACTATAGACTAGACTATAGACTAGACTATAGACTAGACTATAGACTAGACTATAGACTAGACAATAGACTAGACTATAGACTAGCCTATAGACTATACTATAGACTAGACTATAGACCAGACCATAGACTAGACTATAGACTAGAATATAGACTAGGCAATAGTCTAGACTATAGACTAGGCTATAGACTAGACTATATAATAGACTATGGACTAGATTATAGACTAGATTATAGACTAGACTATAGACTAGACTATAGACTAGACTATAGACTAGACTATAGACTAGACTATAGACTAGACTATAGACTAGACTATAGACTAGACTATAGACTAGACTATAGACAGACTATAGACTAGACTATAGACTAGACTATAGACTAGACTATAGACTAGACTATAGACTAGACTATAGACTAGACTATAGACTAGACTATAGACTAGACTATAGACTAGACTATAGACTAGACTATAGACTAGACTATAGACTAGACTATAGACTAGACTATAGACTAGACTATAGACTAGACTATAGACTAGACTATAGACTAGACTATAGACTAGACTATAGACTAGACTATAGTATAGACTAGATTATAGACTAGACTATAGACTAGACAATAAACTAGACTATAGACTAGACTATAGACTAGACTATAGACTAGACTATAGACTAGATTATAGACTAGACTATAGACTAGACTATAGACTAGACTATAGACTAGACTATAGACTAGACTATAGACTAGACTATAGACTAGACTATAGACTAGACTATAGACTAGACTATAGACTAGACTATAGACTAGACTATAGACTAGACTATAGACTAGACTATAGACTAGACTATAGACTAGACTATAGACTAGACTATAGGCTAGACTATAGGCTAGACTATAGACTAGACTATAGACTAGACTATAGACTAGACTATAGACTAGACTATAGACTAGACTATAGACTAGACTAGACTATAGACTAGACTAGACTATAGACTAGACTAGACTATAGACTAGACTAGACTATAGACTAGACTAGACTATAGACTAGACTAGACTAGACTATAGACTAGACTAGACTATAGACTAGACTAGACTATAGACTAGACTATAGACTAGACTATAGACTAGACTAGACTAGACTATAGACTAGACTATAGACTAGACTATAGACTAGACTATAGACTAGACTATAGACTAGACTATAGACTAGACTATAGACTAGACTATAGACTAGACTATAGACTAGACTATAGACTAGACTATAGACTAGACTAGACTAGACTATAGACTAGACTAGACTATAGACTAGACTAGACTATAGACTAGACTAGACTATAGACTAGACTATAGACTAGACTATAGACTATAGACTAGACTAGACTAGACTAGACTAGACTAGACTAGACTAGACTAGACTAGACTAGACTAGACTATAGACTAGACTAGACTATAGACTAGACTATAGACTAGACTATAGACTAGACTATAGACTAGACTATAGACTAGACTATAGACTAGACTATAGACTAGACTATAGACTAGACTATAGACTAGACTATAGACTAGACTATAGACTAGACTATATACTAGACTATAGACTAGACTATAGACTAGACTATAGACTAGACTATAGACTAGACTATAGACTAGACTATAGACTAGACTATAGACTAGACTATAGACTAGACTATAGACTAGACTATAGACTAGACTATAGACTAGACTATAGACTAGACTATAGGCTAGACTATAGACTAGACTACAGACTAGACTATAGACTAGACTATAAACTAAACTAGACTAGACTATAGATTATACTATAGACTAACCTATAAACTTGGCGATAGACTAGACGATAGACTAGACTATAGACTAGACTATAGACTAGACTATAGACTAGACTATAGACTAGACTATAGACTAGACTATAGACTATAGACTAGACTATAGACTAGACTATAGACTAGACTATAGGCTAGACTATAGACTAGACTACAGACTAGACTATAGACTAGACTATAAACTAAACTAGACTAGACTATAGATTATACTATAGACTAACCTATAAACTTGGCGATAGACTAGACGATAGACTAGACTATAGACTAGACTATAGACTAGACTATAGACTAGACTATTGACTAGAATATAGACTAGACTATAGACTAGACTATAGACTAGACTATAGACTAGACTATAGACTAGACTATAGGCTAGACTATAGGAAGGATAGTTAGCATCTCATTTTTCATTATGTATAAGGCCGTTAGAGTTTAATGTTTATTTCATTTAGAAACAATAAATTATTTTACTCACCATTCCGCTAAATCTTGTTTATTAGCAAATATTAATATAATGGCATCTCTCATTTCTCTATCATTTATAATTCGATGTAGTTCTGTCCGAGCCTCGTCAATACGATCCCGATCTGCACAATCCACTACAAATATTAGACCTTGTGGCCTACAAATGATAAAAAAAATAATCAGTCAAACAGAAAATAATTTTCAATGAAAAAATAAAATAAATATTGAAAACTGATCTTGATAAGAAAAGTGTAAAATAGTTTTGTAATAAAATTGCATGAATTAACAATCGTCAATGAAAATACTAATTACCGGTATAATAATGCCGCCATAATGGCCTTATCTTATCTTGTCCACCAACATCCCAGACATTGAATTTGACATTTTTATAGGTGACTGTTTCTACATTGAACCCCACAGTGGGTATTGTTGTTACAGATTGACCTAATTTTAATTTGTATAAAATTGCTGATGTTAAGAAATCAAACAGAAAAAAAAAAGAAAAAAACATAAACGGATGCCATAAATTAATGTGTTTTAGTGATATACTTGTACAAAAGAAAGTAGAAAATGTTTTTATATTGCTTACTTGTTTTGCCTGCTGCATCCAGTCCCAACATTAAAATGCGCATTTCTTTGTTACCAAAAATTTTTGAAAGTAGTTTCCCCATTTCGACAACGACAATGATGCATCAATGGAGTTCAATTGAAAACTGGAAATAGAAATAAAACACATAAGTTGTTATGAAAAATTCTTATAGCAAATGCAAAATGAGAAATCAAGTAGTATTGAATGTAGAAATAGTTTTTTTAATATAATAGTATTATTTAGTGATTTATGATTAAAATTGGTAAACAGCTTTCTAGGATTTTCTATGCAATTTTTAGTGTGAAGAACTTTGAACGGCAAATTGTTATAAAAAGATTTTGGTATATTTATCTTTTTCAGTTTTATTTAGAATACTAGTAACGGGTAATTACAAATTTTAGGGCTCGGATTATAATCCTTGCTAATTCAAATTACCACAGAAACGAATCGTAACTTCTAGTATTGAATTATGAATAAACTTCAAGCATAAACTGCAAGGAACCCTAATAAAATATAACCGGATTATTTTCCGATAATAAATAGGTACCTACAATTACCAAAACATAATAATGGAATAAAACTTCCGTAAAATTTTGTCTAAAATTTGCTTGTTTCAGATCGACCAGCATTATTAAATCCTAATTTAAGTCTCGTGATTCGTTAGCAACTACATTAGTAACCAATCTACTTCGAAATGATTTGAAAGGGAAATATAATTAAATTTGTTTATCAATTTAAATGTATAAAATAAAATTTAGAAAGAAAATTGCTTAGATTTCGATCAATACTGTAGATTTGTATTTTAGAAAAATAACAAGTAATTTAAATTAAAATAAAAATAATTAAAAATAGCCCTAAACTGAACAATAGTAATGTAAAGGAAATCATTGACATCTACATTTTGTCAAATTTAAATTGTTTTATTAATAAAATCGATTTTTATGGCTTATTTAGCCAAAAACATTTGAGGGTGTTAAATTGGGCATTTTGTCAAAAGATAAAAAAAACTTGAAATAAAATCAATATTTAACACTAAATTATGCATTTCAAGTGCAAAATAATGATTCCTATAAAACACGTATCAATTTTGTAGGTCAATGAATTATCATTAAAGTTTTTTTTTTTTTATTTTTGTAAAAAGACATTTCTCTTCGTGTTTACATTCACTCACTTTCAACAATTCATCTCTAGATTTTATTGAATCTTATAATACTGGTACATACAACAATAACAACAAAATGTAAAAAACAACATAAACTGGATTTGTTGTTAACCAACCGTAAACATTACAACATATTGCTGTTGTTGTTATTATTAGTTTATACGATTACTTTAAACAAAAACAAAAAAAAACTACAAAACATAAAATGAGCATAAAGTAATAGGAAATGAATAGTATAGAAGACATAGAAGAGAATGAGAGAGTATGAATGATGGATGAATGATTGAATGAATAAATAAACACACAAAACTTGGGGCGTGATCATCACCACACAACCGTCATCAATGACAGTTTTATTTTTCATCGTTTTTTTTGTTGTTAATTACAACAATAATGAAAAAAGCCACTACAAATAATAAATACAGCAAGAATGACAGCGAAAACTAAAATATGCAAAATATACAAAAACGCGTTGTTCAATTCCACACAAAACTCAAAACGAATGCTATGCTGGAACTCAGTCATTAACATTCTGCTATCAGAAAACCTTTTCCGGCATTCCATTGCTTTAGTTTAAAAAGTTTTAAGAACTCAGTCTTTTAGTTTTTTTTTTCGTATTGTTTTATCAGTCGTTCAAGGCAATTAATATTTGTTTTTTTTCGTTTCTTGTTTTAGGCGTTGTACTATCAAAAAAAAAAAAAAAACACATACACAAACAGTAAATAAATCTCTAATTTGGCTTTAAAATAAATTAATTAACTAACAAAAACCAACAAAAACACAAATTATACAATAACTTCTTTTGTGGTATTTTATAGTTTTTTCGTTTTTTTTCTCTTTGGTCAACATAATCACTTTTGTAGCTTTTTGTTTGAAGCTAAAGCTAGACATTTTTTTGTTTAAATTTCATTTACAATTTATCATCAACATCATCAGTTGTAATGCAAACCTTGGCAAACACTTGGATTTACACGTCACACACACCGCCGCCACAACAATTTAGATTTCTTCTACGTTTCCTCACAGCCGCTGCCACACTTTTTTTTACTTGGAATTCACTGCAGTCATGCATAGGTTTACTTCTCTTCTTTTATTTGTCTTTTCGATTTTTTTTTTTCTATTTTCCTTAATATCTATCAACCGTTTTTTCACTATTATTGCGTTTTTCTATTATTAAACTTTAATTAATTGTGGCTTTTTGGCAAACTTCATTTCATATATCCACAGAAAAAGCGAAAAACTCGAATGTTATAAAACAAAATTACTCATTTCTCAATCAGAACGAAGATGAATTTTTTATTTTAATCGAAGGCAGAGGAATAACAATGATGCTATACAATGAACTTTTATAACCGAGTGTTCTAAAAGTGCGTACACAGGGTGTCGTCATATTGGGAAAAATATGTTAATGTTGCCAGAAAATGTCAATTTTAGTACGAATTTTACATGTGAACAGAGTTGATATTACTGGCATGTTGTCGTGTCATGCTTGCATGATAGTGATGATAATAAATATTTAAGAAAAATTAAAGAAATGGAAAAATTATTACTAAATTTAGCAGTGGTTTTTATATTGAAAAAGTTAATAGTAAACCATTGTTCAAAAATTTTTTATAGTAAAACAATGTCGATATTTTTGAACTACCTTTATGTTCGGTTTTCTTCACTTTTTAGCATGTTTTGTTTGCCCGGATTTCAGTCGCATACAAAATGCAATTTTTTATTTTTTTTATAACTTTAAAACTGTAAAATGGAAAAAGAAACTCTTTTGGAATTCTACAACAATTTGCATTTTAATTTATAATTGTGAAAAAAGAACCAAAAAATCACCGTAGCTTAGACCTTTTCTAAGAAGGGTATACATATATACATAAGTTTGTCGTTCCGTTTAAAATTTCTACAATATAATTTTCTGACCCTAAATATGTGTAATATATTCGGGAAATTTGACTCAAAATTCAA